ACACACACACACACACACACACACACACACACACACACACACACACATTAAGCAGGCCACACTCCTCTTTCCAAAGAAACACATACGGAAAAACACAGAACCAGACGGACAAAAACAGCCAGAATCACACACACAATATGGAAATATACCACACATAATTTATACATATCTTTAATCAGAGAGTTTGTGGCAGCGACCCCTGCCGAGACCAAGTCTCTGCTTCTCCTTATTTATCCTTTCTAGTGTGAAAATTCTGTATTAAACAGACTCCATGGTCTATAATATGTAAAGAGGGGGAGTTAGAATTAGCAGGAAGGATGACAAGAAGGACAAATGGCTCCTTCGTCACCTTTTTCCTCAAAGGAATAACATTTCAGGGACACACTATGCTCGAGTCAGCGGTAAACAAAGACAGAATTTAAAGCTCTTTTACAACATCTTATTCGATTTCGGAAGCTGTAAATATGTTTCATTGGGAACAAAAGTAAAGTCCAGTAATTCCAGGTGAGTTCGGTGAATAAAGCAACTACAATAAAAAAAAGTAAAAATGTTGTTCTTGTAACCGGGTTCGCATGAATCTGTATTCATCTCAGAGAGGACGCTCAGAGCAGAGAGAGCTCTCTGATAACTGTGTTTAGAAAATTTAGATGAGTTTAATCTTGTTGTTGGACTCTTTGAGGAGATTAGTGCTACGGTTAAATGTGTGCCGAGACTGTGGAATAGTAAATATGATAAAACAATACACGAGCTCAGGTGCCACCACTGCTGGTAATACATTATTATTATTTATGAGTATTATGATTGTAATAATTTTTCTAATTATTACAATTACAATAATTATTTTAATTTTATTATTATTATGATTGTTTTTCTGATAACATTATGATCATTATACATATTATTTTCAAGAGTATAATATTTTATGATCATTTTTCTTATATAATTACAACAGTATACTAATATTACAACTTTATTTTATAATGATTCTTATTTTTTTTCTAATAACATTATTAATATTGGTATTATTATTATGAGAAAAACAATCGTAATAACAATAACTTTTCTAATGCTGTCCCGAGGTGTTTCACTTCAGTTTGTTTGTAATATGTATTGTGATCATGACATCAGCATTCTCTCCACATGTTGGAGTTATATCCGTGCCTCCGGGCTGAACCACTCACCCGGGAGCAGATCTCGTGCAGGCTGGTGGCGATGGCTTTGGCTGGCGTGTCACAGCGGAACACATGACATTTCAGGATCCTGGTGTTTTTGTCCCGCGCCACGTATGCAAAGTCCCTGAGAAAGAGAGAACAACACCGGGTCAGTGAAGACACACGGACGGAGGAAAAAAAACACCGAGGGGGGTGGAAATGAGAAAACTACTAGTTTCAGTACTACTCAGAGACTAGACGTGTGTGTGTGTGTGTGTCTAGTTTTGAGACAGACAGCTCTTGGAGACAGATGACAGATTAGCTGACCTTTATCTGTCTGATGAATACAGGACACACACACACACACAAGTCAATGGACCCTCGAGATCAATAGAGCAGCATGATGCAAGAGGGAGTTGAATGAGTGACAGCAGGGGAGAACTTTCCCCTGAGCCCAGTGGAGCCGAAAAAACTATCTACCAAGCTGAACAGAGGGAATGAAAACAGAGGGAGGGAGAGAGAGGAACGAAGATGTAGCTGCAACAAATGAAACCAGTACAGCTCTCACGCACACACACACACACACACACACACACACACACACGTTGATTTACGTCATTCAGATGTGCACATAAAATCCATCTGAATAACTTCCTTCAAGCTGCGTGCTTCAATATGTTGTGCAATAGGAAACACGGGTCTGATGGGTAACAAGATTTCTGAGCCCAGCCCCTCAGGGGCAACTCTCCTGAAAAGAGTGTCATTTGTGTGTGTGTGTGTGTGTGTGTGTGTGTGTGCGTGTGTGTGCATACTTTTAAAAAAAATGCTTGTAGACAGACAAGGACAGAGGAGGTCACCTTTCACTTCACCACAGGAGCCAGTTTGAAGACGAGACGAATGAGACACGGAGGAAATGAAACAATAAGGGGATGACGGAGATGATGGAGAGATAATGTAGGGAGGGATGAAAGGGGAAGGAATGTGTTTACCTCTCTCTGTGTCCAAGGAAGCAAGGGAGGAAAGGAAGCCAGTTAGTGGAAATAAAAGACAGAACAAAAAACAAATTCTTTATACCAGCCCCCCTGCTGGGGGGCCAGGAGGCAAAGAGGAGGCGAACAGCAACTCACACACACACTAAAACACAAGTTACATACTTCTTTGTTCTGTGCAGAAACTACTTCCCAAGAAACACAGCTTTGAAGAGCGGTGCAGAAAAGCAGCAACGCAGGTCATTTTTATGCGTACTTCATATTTTTGCTCCAAGGGAAAATATATAAAAGTCGGACAGAACTTTGAATAAGGTGCGAAGGAAGAAGAGAGCAACAGCAGGACAGAGAGATGTTCTGGATTCATTGTCGGCTGATTTTTCATAAAGGAAATAGACTGGGAGTGTCTGACAGACACATAATAAAAAAAATGTAAAAAAAGAAGTTACCTCGAGGAGCGGAGCGAGTGGATACAACGAGAGGAAAGTGAAATACCGGCAGAGGAGACTGGAAGTGAATGGCCACAACGTACACAATTAATATAAAAGCGCTGAAGATGAGGGCAGAACAAAACACTAAGATGAAGAGTGAAGATAAAAGTCAGAGGAAAGGAGGGCGGGGGATATCTCATTCCCACTATAATCTCATCATCATGCCGACGCCCCTGAAAATGTCAAGGTTGCCGTGGGAATCTGTAATCTCTATGGTGATAATGAGTTTCGTGGCACATGTGTAGAGAGGGGTACGGTTACTACGCCAACACGACCACTGTGAGAGTGTGTGTGTGTGTGTGTGTGTGTGTGTGTGTGTGTGTGTGTGTGTGAGTGAATGGAGAAGGAGAACTCCTCACTACGACTGGGCTTCAAATCAAAAAGGTCTCGTATCTTTAAAGGCAAACGGTCCAACAACTCATGAATAAATACAAGAATAAAAGCAGCTCCTGCCATCACTGCGTTCCTACACACACACGGACACGTGTCAGTCGTGAACTGATGCACGTTTCATCGCTTGGAGCTTCTCAGCATCGCGAACGTTTGCTGTTTTCAGACTCCGGACTCGGATGAACGGGACTCTCTTCATCTATTTGTGATCAGCCGCTCTCGGTTCATCGCTCACATCGGATGTTCACACTCCACCTGAGTTTTTCTGTCACATGCACGGCCTCACACTGGCTACAAATCTCCCACAGACTGATCTTTTATTTTGCTACTTCGTAATAAAGCTAAACAGCAGCAGTGGTGGTTTCAAAAAAGCAAGATTACAGAAGGTAAATGTAGATTTACTCACGGCTGTACGCGGCCGTGATCCTGCGTACGGGAGCGTCACACCGTCGACTCCTTGGTGATACCGCGGCCGTGCGCTCACTCCTCAACCTGTCCTGCTCCACACCCAGAGAGCACTAACCATACCTTCCCCCTCTGGCAGCTCCATCCCCCTTCTCCCCCTCTCTCCTGCCAACCCCCCCCCCTCTTCCTCTTCCCTCTGCTACAGCGCTGCATGTATGTGTGTGTGTGTGAGAGTGAGAGAGAATGCCGAGGCAACAGAATTCTGCAGTTCTGAATATGCCAAGAGCTTTTAGCCTTACCTCTTTCCCCGAGTGCGCTTCTGCTTATGCATGTGTTGGTGTCTGTGTGTGTCTGTGTGTGTGTGTGTGTGTGAGTGTGTGCCAGCTCCAATTATTCAGCGGCTACCGACCGCTCCAGTCCACCTGGCTGTGCCTGATAATCTACATTTGAATCGGTCACCAGCAGCAGTGCAGAGCGCTCTTTGCCAGTCGCCCGGCAGCACCACCATGCGGCGTCGGTGGATTTGGCCGTGAAAGTGAGGGACGGACTGCCGGAGGGGGGGGAGGGGGTCCCGCCCCCGCCCTCTCCTTTGTCCCGATGAATTTATCCTTCATCATCAATCACTAGCTCCTCTCTTCTGCCCGTCACCACACCAGCCGTCTGCTGCCCTCCACCGTCATCCTGACCTTTTACTGTTTAACTGAGCGATGTGCCATCGACTTCATTTAAATGAGTGACTAATCCATCAATTATTAAAGTGCTTGAAAACAACAAGAAGCCTCACTAAGTCATGACCCAGGTTGATAAGACACTACGGAGATGTTAGAGATGATTTAGTAGAGCATGGCGTGCATTCTGGGTAAACCTTGCACGCTAATGATTAATCATGAGGACAAGCAAAAAGGGGGAAATTAATCAATATAAGAAAAAACGGTGACTGACCTGCCGTTGTCCCGGCCAACACCCCAGACCCGGATGCTTGCGATTGGCTGAGAGTGAAGCACGCTGCGGTCCATGGGGTCGATCAGGTTCAACATGTTGTTCTCCAGCACCAGGTACATGTCCTTCCCCTGGAGACACACACACACACACACACACAAAATCCTTATTTCCTGCAGCTCAAGACATTGCAAAGAAAGAAAAAAGCATTCATCTAAAAAGGTCAGCTGCTTTCTTTTACTTTTTTTTCTTTTATAAGTATATTTGCCTGAAGCCTATCTGTGTGTTATTGAAAGAAGGATGAAGTGCTCCCTCTCTCTCCCTCTCTCTCCCTCTCCTGCCCTCTCCCTCTCTCTCTCCCTGTTCTGTCGCTTCACATTAAACACAACCACCGGAGAGGTAGGAAAAGACTTCATAACGTTGCTCCACTTTGCTCTCTTCACTCTCCTCTCCCTCCCTCCATCTTTGACACACATTGTTCTGTTCACATCTGTCTTTTCCTGGCTCTCTCCTAGCACCCCTCCCCTTGTAAAGAAACTTTTGTTCTCGGAGCAAAACAATACACATGAAACACTCCTCCCCCCCCCCCCTCACCTCTCCCCAGATGCCGACGGTGTCTCGGATGTCATTCTTGCAGTAGGACAGCTGCCGGATGCAGTTGTTCACGGCGACGCTGCTCTTTCCAGGAGCCAAGTCGTCCTCCGCCATCTCCACCCATCCCAGAGAGCGCACGGCGAAGCACTGAGGACACGCCAAAGCCACCACACGTTACACGATACATGTACGTTGTTCAGTTCAGAGAGCACAGACATATCAAGGCTTTTGGCACGCTGACCAGCAGGGATCGGTTTTAGGCTTCGAGCCAAATCCTTTGAACTGCACAAAGACGAATGCAGATAAACAGATGAGGACAACAAAGCATGTTGGAGGACAAGAAGAAACTGTAAGAGGAGTGAGACACGTCCGTCTGTCCTCATCAAGTATTCATTTCATTTCAGCGGCCCGTTCAGAAAGTACTTTGTGGACGACGGAGGTCAACGATGAAAGAGGACAGCTAATAGAGTGAGTCGCTACCAAAGGAACCATTGGTTGTGGATCAGCTGCTCAAATCAAAACAAAGTGAAGGACTACTAACTTTCAGTGTAACACAGCAGGACATATAGTAACATCATGTCTTCAGTGTGTGTCAATCACATAGATAGTAGCCCAGATGGATAATAAAATGCAAAGGTGTGATGCTATTCTATCATAGGAGGTTAGGGTGGTGATATTGTTGTCACTTGAAACATTTTAAAAAGCACTCTGAGCGCCCATAAGGAGTTTTAGCTTGTTATACTAATGTTTAGTCAGGAAGACTCTCTTTACTCTCATTTATTCACAAATCTCTCTCTCAATCAGCTGATTATGGGCGTTAAGTAAACCAACCCGATTCTGCCGCGATCTCCCTAAGCCAATCACATCGCTGCTGTCAAATTTCAAAAACCATCGTCAGATCCTCAGCAACTCCCTCCATGCACGTGTAATAAATCATTGTTTCACTCTGAGTGACGTCGCTCCTGATTGGAATATTTTAAGGTAGTAAAATGGCACCTGTGTGTGTACTGCAGTTATCGGTTTCTCGACTTAAGATAGATAGGAAATTGTTGAGTGAGGCCTTCCTTGTGTACAGCTCCTTTATTGGTAGAAAAGGGGCCGTTCCAATCCTGATGCTGCAGTGGGCTATTTGCTGGAAGTCTGTGTGTGTGTGTGTGCGCGCTACCGACCAGACGCCCTGACTGTTCGTCTGTGTTTGTGTCTGGTATTCATCACGATGTCACTGTTGCTAAGGATTGCGAATTTTTGCCAGACAAACACACACAGAGGGAAACAGAAAGGCTGGATGTCCTCTTTAAAGTCTAATCCGAGACGCTTTCGATCTTCTCAGCGATCCGAGAGAACGCCACACATACACACACACACACACACACACACACACACACACACACACACATCCACCTCGGTGTGTATTTGAGCCTTTCCTGCAGTTTGTGACAGAATGCAATGACTCTGTGTCTGATAATTAAGTCATCTATTTTTTCTGTTGAATTAGTTGGACTCTAAATGAATGTATTCCTTGCGCTGACATTAGCTGGTATTCTGGCTTGGCCTTCTACTGAGTCATATGTTTTATTGAGCCCAACTTGAAATGTCTCATTTGAATCCCAGCTTTGTCTGTTTCAGAGGCCTTGGGGATCGATGCACCTGTGTGCAGCGCTGAGCTGTAGTTTTTGGTCTCGCCACTTGAGGGCAGCATTGATTAATGTCTCAGCTCCACTCAGCCACCATCAACATAAACACCACCAGTAAACAAACAGGCCTGGGACATAAACAGACAAAAACCTGCAAACAGAATCATTTCACGTGTGTCCTGGGAATGTTGATTGTGTTCCGCAGTGATTAAAGCGATTAGATAACTCTAACTTTAGATACGGCAAAAGATCTCAAACATTGCTGTATTCTGCTGCCGTACTAACATTTATTTATCTAGCATTTAGACATTTAAAAAGGAACTGTGTGTACACATTGTTAGAACAGAAGAGCAGAACAATGTGGACTAAAATACATGCATGCTTCAGGCAGGCTGTTACCTTTGTCTCCGGGTCTCTGTTGGCTCTGCTGGACTGCTCTTCTTCCACTTCTGGACGGTTCCTGAAAAAACAAAATACAAAAAAAGGTTTAAAAAAAATGTGTGACTCCAACACAAGAGTAGAGCAACCAGGCTTGACTGGTAAGAGACACAGACAAGTGTAGTAGAGTGTGTGTGTTTGTGTGTGTGTGTGTGTGTGTAAAGGCGTTTCACCTTAGCTTGAGCGATGCGTAGCGAAGCGTCGCACCCTCAAACTCCTTCAGACTGGGGTCGGAGTTCACCGTGGCCGCCTGCAGGTCCTGGCATGTACAGACGACATTATCAGGAGTGTGCAACGTGACACAGAAAAACACCCCCCCCCCTTGAAGCCCGTGTCACACATGTAACCTGTAATACTGTCTGCTAAAACGGTCCTCTGTGTGACGTCTGGTCCCTCATGATGTAACGGCTCCAGACAGATGAGGTCTGAATAGGTTCACCTCCTATTGGGCCTTTCTTTCAGTTTCAACATGTCAATGTGCTTTTTTTATCCGACTAGAGCTGCCGTCCCCACACCTACATGTATGACTGCCGTACCATTCCTAGGTTACATGGAGAGTGAGAGAGGGGCTAAAGCAGGCACAGAGTAAATGTTCTGACCACACGCAGCATGTCGTGCCAGCATGCATCGTTGTGTGGGCCTCGCCGGATGGAGGGATGGCGTGTTACGTGTACATGGGGGCATGCTGCATGGACAAAAGGGAGTTAACGTGTAACGTTCATTCAGATCTGCCCTTCTTTCCCTTCTGCAGGAAGGGAAAAGACGACAACATTTCATAGGTGAGTGAGGAAAACACAACCTGTCGTGTGTGTGTGTGTGTGTTGCTGCAGCCAAATGACGAAGATGCTGTGGTCGGTGCGGTTGCATTTATGTGGAACAATCAGCCACGCATGCTCTCTGCACAAGGCAGTGAAGTGGTAGCACATGATGCCACGCTGTGAAATGCACCACGAGAGAGACCCGCTGAGTGCGTTATACTTGCCTTCCACATCTCACTATCAATCTTTCCGCCAAAATCACTCCACGGCTGTTTCTACACACACAGTGTTCAAACACACACATAGTGGTAGGGGGAAAGGTAGGAAGGGAGCGAGGGAAGAAAGACAGAAGAAGGATGTTAGCTAACTAGCTCACTCCACACAGAGCGCCTGCTGCAATGAGGAGCGACCCAGCGAGACATTTTATTAAAAAGGAAAAATGCTGCCGATCAAAATGCCTCATGCTGCTATTGATCGGCCTGCTGCTGAGAATCTGCTGATTCCTGATTAGTACGATGTGGAACAATACAGACAGTAGACGATCCCATAAAAAGATTAAAAAGCCCCCCCGTAATTAAAATAAAATGTATAAAACTGATTAATAATAATACAAATAATAATAACAATAATTCTTATCCAGTTTGCAAGATAGAAAGCCACTAAAGAATCAATGGTAAAACAAAAACACTACAATACACTAGTATGTTCATTTAACATTTTAAAGATAAACATGTAAGTGGACTTTGTGTGCCATGTGTGTCTGTAACGTCTCACTGTGTTCCTGCTCATAAAAAAGTGTCCATGAGTGCACAATAACTGTCCAAACCAAAGAAGACATGTCCAAACACTGAACTCCCTGCTCTGTAGGTGACACAAATATACAGTAGAATGCACACATACAGATGCTGTGAGTATCTTCTTTTATTTTTCTATCTGTGCCACAGCACACGGCACAGAAAGAAAGACATTAAGCTCAACTCCACGGGGCGATAACAGGAGAACCAGGCGAGCGGTTAGCAGAAGGGGAACAGAAGAGTGTTGAAGTATCCTACCTTGTCCTCATCTTCAAGAAGCTGAGAGCGACTCTCTGGATCAGGACTCCCCTGTAGAGATGTGGAGCGAGGCTGAGGAGGGGAAAGAGAGGGAACCGGGGAGAGATGAAGATTTAAAAAAAAAAAAGATTATGTCTGCCATTTTGGCTCTGGTATCACTGGCTAGCAGTCGGCAGGTCAGAATGAGATTTTGGCACATCTATCTGTCAACATCAGTCCATTCTCACTGGATCAATATCTTATCTACACCGTGCTCCTCTCCATCACTCTCCCTTCCTCTCTCCATATCCCTCCATCATTCTGCATGATGACTGATTGACTGACTCCGTGTTCTTGTTGCTCTGCTGCTCGACCGCAGTATCGACGGCGTCGCCCTTCTCTGTCTCACTCCCTCTACCCAGTCGTCTCGTTGCCTATGTCTGCCAGTCCCTTGGCTGATCTCAGTCAGGACATACGATAAAATACCGAGGCTTAAAAATGTGCAGAATACCACAGACGCTTTACTCACAAAGTAGCAGCTGTTGACGAAACCGCACGTGGCGAGGACGGGCTCGTGAGCAGAGAGCGGCTCCACCGAGCTGTCGGAGGTGGTGCTGCCCGAGCGAGTCGAGCCCCCGAAGAAGACCTCCGCCTGGGACGCCTGCAAGTGAGCCCGCCCGCCCGCCCACACACACACACCCACACACACCCACACACACACACACACACACAAACACAAACACACACAAACACAAACACACACACACACACACACACACACACACACACACACACACACACACACACACACACACACACACACAGTGGATTCAGGAGGACTGTGGTGTTAGACTGCATTAGTTTTAGCGCGGTGTACTTAATAATGTGGCAACCGAGCGTACTATATCCACATGCGTTGTAGCAGCTGCTCTCATATTAACTGTCTGCTGTGGGGCGTCTCCAATTGTAATAATGACGATCAAGCCCCGAGGTTCTAAAAACACAAACGAGACTAATAAAGAGGATTTTAATTTTCAAGTGAATTGCATTGGAGGCATACGACAATATTACTACGGCATATGTAATTTTGACTTCATTATATTTGTATTATATTCTTGTGTTTACTTTATGAAGGTCATATAGTATGAAACTGAGACTGTTTCATAACCAGTTAAAAGTTCCTCACAGTAACTTTAAATCTGTGACTTCATCGTCTCTTTACATTGTGGATGGATGGACGACTAACAGCCTGTTTCAACCATCTCAGGTGATCCCAGTTGAACAGCTGCTAATATAACTGACAATTACAGCACAAAACAGAAAAACACAAATAAGACTGAAGTCAGAGCTAAAATGTGTGTCAGCTTGTTGTTTTCCGTCTCTCACCTCGTGGTCAGGAGTGGGCGAGGGGCTGAGTGAGCCCAGGGAGTGCTTGCGTGGCGTGGAGGCCGCGTGCTCGCCCGGAGCCTGGGACTCGGTCTGTCCCGGGGGTGCTGGGCGGGCGGCGGGTCTCTCCCACTGGGTGGTGCCCGTAGGAATGTGCCAGTAGTAGACGCCGGCCATGTCCGTGATCTTCTTCCATCCAGGAGGCAGGTCCGGGTCGGTCTGGAAGGACTGCTCACTCCAGATATCTGGGGGGAAAAGTCACAGACCTCTTGTGTACTTTTCTTACAAATGCTTGTATACATACGCACACACACACAAACATAAGTTTTTTCCTCCATGTGACCAAATGGAAGTTAGCGCCCCCCCCCACACACACACGAACATACACTGAACAATATCAACAGCTGACTGCGATTAGCAGCAGCTGTCATTCGACCAGCCGTGTCTTTCCTCAGACAACAACTGAGGAACACTTGCTAAACGCTGCTGTTGTATTTTACGTGAGATGGAAGACCACGAACACCGACAGCAAATCATTTTTAAGAGGCAATGAAATCAGAAAAATGAGGGACCACGTCATCAGTGCCACTTTGTTTTCCAGATCAAGAAAACAGCAGGTCTGCAGTGGTTCGTGTCGATTAGAATAATTCAGCCTTGCCTCTGAATTTGACTCCAACCCTATAGTTCCTAAAGTTTATTCCATATTGCGATGGCGATGAAAGCATCAGTGTTGCAAACTCAATTTATACTGCATATCACTCGCACAAAGGGAAACTTTTAGCAGTGTGGGAGTCCATTTTTCCCATATTCACCTGCTATATGATTACTATGTACAACTGAATGAAGCTGACCGACGAGAAATAATAACAACAATGAATGTAACTGCAATCAAATACCTACAAAAATCTAAACTTCCTTTCTCTAACACATCGGCAGCACAGAGAGCAGACCGTTAACATCATTTATTTGACAGTGATGGAATGTGAGGTGAAATACAGCGTTTACCTTGAAACACACACACACACACACACACAGAGAACTATTGATGGCATGTATGTGTGTGTGTGTGTGTGTGTGTGTGTGTGTGTGTGTGTGTGTGTGTGTGTGTGTGACGTTGATGTAGAGACTCATAAAGGTGATATATGCTCTGAGGGACTGGTCAGCAGTGTGTGTGTGTGTGTGTGTGTGTGTGAGTGACATAACGAGTTCTGAAACTGCTGACCATGCAGATGAAACGCAGCCCACGGCCCTGTCGCTACGGCAGCAGGCCACATGTCACCATGACGACTGGGGAGTTCAGACGCACACAGTTATTAAAGGTTTGGTTGTTTTAATGGAAACAGAAATGGCTCATACAGTGTAGAGAAAATGCGCACATACGCTCTTGGCAGACATCCCCCCTGGGGGCTGAAGGCTGTGCTTTAGAGCGAGGAGTCGTAAAGCTGAGCCTTCTGGGAGTTGCAGTCTTTTATGAGCAAAAAAATGGGTCAGAAAATCTACGACAGAGAGAACCGGAGAGTGTCTGTCTGCTGAGAGAGGGGGAAGATGGTGACTCGGAGAACTGGTGCCAGCATGAGATGAACTGGATTTAGATTTAAGCATGTACGTACATAACGGGGGGGAGGGGGGGGAGAAAGAGGGAGGGAGATACCACTGGCTCGAATGGTGCATCATGCCTCCAAGTTAGCAGCGTCACACTCTGCGAGTGTGGAATCAGACGGGAAGAGCTAAAGCGTGCAGTCTGTGGGGAAACGTGCCACAGCCGAGCTACGTAGCAGTTAGCCTACGATAGCCTCCGTTAGCATGCAGCTCCTTGCCAGAGCAGAGTTGAGGGGAGAGGGGGAGGGGAGTGCAAAATACATACACATGTTCTCTCAGTGAAACGACACAGCGCATACACACATACACACACACACCATCACCAACTCACACACACACACACACACATCATGCACAGACCACAGATATCTAGAGAACAACACCATTGCAGAAACAAACTTTATCCCTGTGCTGAAAGAGACACATATACCCATGCTTGTGCGTGCATACACACACACACACACACACACACACGCACGCACGCAGCGTTCAAACTGTAGTATGCAGCCAACTCCCGACAGATGCACCTACCCTCGTAATTGACAATCACAATGGCCAGCATGTAGTCTTTTCCCAGCATCATAGTTAGCTAGCTGCCTCTCACACAGCAAAGCCCAGTGCTGTAACCAAACAGAGCAAACCCCAGGCAGGGATGGAAAGAGAGGGAGAGAGAGTACAGAGGAGAGAGAGAGGGGGTGGGGGACAGAAAGGCATGGAGAACATGAAGAGAGAAAAGAGTGAATGAAAGAGAGTGGGGGGGGGGAGAGAAGGAGGATGTGTATCCCCCTGCAGCTGAGCTATATTTGCTGTTGTTATCGTCTCTGCTCTCCCTCCATCTGGAGCACAAACAGCTCAAATAAGCCTGCCCTCCCCTTCCTGTCCCGAGAGACACACACACACACACACACACACACACACACACACACACACACACGCACACAGAAAGGCACAAATAAATCTTCCTCATCAAATGTCAACACTTTCTCCCCCGACCTTCCGTTAAGCCTGGCTTGGTTGTCCCTGGCAACCCAACACACATCATCTTTCATTCAGTATCATATTTAGTCGAGGGGCGAGGATGAGGAGCAGAGAGGAAGGCAGGCATACGGGGAGAAAAGAAAAGAGGAGGACCTCGATAAAGTGAGGGTGAAGAAATGTTGGAGGAAGTGAGCGAGACAGAGAGAAAAAACATCTGGCAAAAGAAAACTGCTGACTCTTACATGTTGCTGTACTGCACTCATGTTGTGTGTGTGTGTGTGTGTGTGTGTGTGTGTGTGTGTGTGTGTGTGTGTGTGTGTGTGTGTGTGTGTGTGTGTTTTGGCTCCTCTGTGTGAAAGCGACTTCGTACTGGCCCTCCAACCCGCAAACATCCACAGAGGAATGTGACACACACCTGGGAAAACAACACGGCTTTGTCGATGTGAGAGGGCGGGGGGGGGCAGCATGGACGACTATGTGTTAGATATCGACAACATGAGCAATGCCAGGATCAGGACCGTCGATTCCCTCGAGAGGACGATACGTCTTGCCTAAGAGACTGCAGCGTCTACGTTTGTCCCCGTCCTTGGCTCGTCGATACACCAGCATTGATCCACAGCTGCAGCCCCTCGGGGGAGTGGCTGAGGGGTTTTACTCACCCGGTAGCCAAACTTACTTAATAAAGTCAACAAGAGATTTTTAACAATTGGGCAAAAAAACATTCTAAATGTTTTACTTTAACTTTGTTATCTATAGTGGTTATTTGCATAAAACACACAATTTTTATCATAAATAATTGTATTTTTTTTTATAATTTGCTTTGATTCATTTTTTGGGAGGCATTAGTAGTTTTAATTATGTATCATAAGATGCTTAGAGCTAGTGTTAGGAAGTCAAACATCCCTCTCTAATATGTATTATTATATATTTATTATATTGCTGTGAAAACATCTTTCAAAAAACTGGATTTATTTAAATTTCTCGCCCCCACTACATTTTACATTTACAGTTATAACCTTCGCACAATACCCATTTTTTTGTGTCTGGAGCTTGAACGCCCCATAATATAACTGAATGGAACCTCCACACTTTAGCCGTTAGCTTCGTTATTAGCAGAATAACGGAGAGACTCTAAGCTGTCGGCAGAGGAGCGGTTCACTGTGATTGCTCTGAGCAGCATGATGGGAATGAATTACAATTTAATATTTCTATGTGTGATGAAAATGCTGATATATTGTTAGCTCCGTTATTTAGCCAATCAGGACTATGGGGCCAACCGGTTGCTGACAACGGGCAAGAGGAGAGCTACGTTAAATAAAGTTGCTGATTTCAACGGATTTGTTGCTCACAATGTAGCATGATCAGGCATTAATGGGGATCACCCGATCGCATATTTTTACTGATCATGGGCCCCTAATAAAGATCACATTTATCTTTCATTTGCCCGATAGGACGACTGCATGAGGCATTCCACTTGCCCGAAACACAGAGTGTACTTTCCGGGGAGGCGGGCAACCGTTACTGTTGAGCCCTGACTCTGGAATGACTTAGATGAAGAAGAGGAACACCTGGAAAGTAGATTCTGACAAATTCTGAACAAGCGTGCTCCCAATCACACTCACAGAGAAATGAAACGCACAGATGCTCAGAGCCTTAGATCCACAAAAAAAGGGGACAGTGAGTCACCAGAGAGCTAGCAGAGAAGCATTCTGGGAGAAAAAGGAAAAAGCAGCGGATGGTTTACAGCTGAGCTACAGCTCAGAGGTCGGGGGCTGCTGCTGCTCCAGAAGAGATGGATGTGCCTCATATGTCTCGCAGGATGTCCCCATTAAACGGGACATCCAGATCTTTACGTCACGCCGACGAAGAAGTGCAATGACTTCAACAGACCTGCTGCAAAGGTACAAGCTAGTTTAAGAGAGCAGTGGCCCACAACAGGAGGCGGTGACTCACCACAACGTTCGCTACGTAGAGTAGTAATTTATCCTCAATGCAAGGTAACGACACTGATAAACTGAATTGATTGAGGTTTTGTGCTGTCAAGCAATTTCAAGACGTCACTTTAGAAATGTTTCAAATATACATTTTATGGATTTTATGGGTTGGTAAGAACACACACACACACACACACACACACACACACACACACACACACACA